TCAAAGATTTCCTACAAATACTAGTTTAAATGATCTCATTAATACTTTTTATATTGATTACATGTTGAAATGATACTATTCGGGGGTATTTTGAGTTAAATAAAATATAAAATTTTTACTTTTTGGAATGTAGCTACTAGAAGCTTTTGACGAACTATCGATATTTTAATATATAAGTTTTTGGGTTTCCATTTCTTTGGCATATGCATCAAATTCTAGAAAATTTAAAGTGGTCTTTTTTGGGGAAAAATGTTACATCATTTTCTAGTCAAGGGTTTTTTTTAATAAAAAGGTGAAGATTTCATGCCGTGTTGGCCAAATATTCAGGAGAGTATGAAGGGAAGGAACACCAAAGTTTCTTACACCAAAATTTCATTTCCTTCTACTTTGAATGAAGCTGTGTTGTCTACCTTTAGGCACCACAGTCTGGAATAGCAGAACATTTCCAGATTCCAGCACATGAAAAAGGATGGTTCAAAAATGATGACCAGACCCCTTCCCACCCCCATGCACACACATGCAACAGCTCTTCTCCACGTGAGGACCAAGTACTTGGAGAGCATGTAAATGCTCAACCCACGTACTCCCCAAAACACATATTTAATAACCACTTCCTGAAATGCATGAACTGCTGGGTCAAATAGAGAAGAGTGAACAGAGACAGGGCAGCAAACAGGCCTTTGGATGGATGCTTTGGATAGGAAGAGCAGCAGAGGGAAGACTCAGCAGCACACAGGAGCAGGGCAGAAGGAGGGTAGATTGTCTGGGGACCTTGAGGATACACACATTTGCATGGATCTGCAGGGCCTCTAATGTTAGGAAGGAGATCCAGGACCTGACATGAAAAGCAGTGGGTGGGATGACCTGATAGAAGCCATGATTTTAGGGAAATTATTCCTCTCTTCTCTGTCATGTTATACATGTGTATGACGCCCAACTGGAGGAGCTGACTAGAATCCAATGCCACATCACATTACTCCCTTATTCTCTCATGTGTGCATATTTTTGCTTCCCCAAGAGAGAATGATATATTCCTCAAGGGCAAGAATGAAGATTGATGTTTCTTTTGAATAGCTCATGACTTTCAGGGCCGTGGTAGGCCTGGCTGGTGTGTCTAGTTGGTTGGATGGTCATCCCATAACCAAGATTTGTGGGTTTGATTCCCAGTCAGAGTACATACCTGGGTTGCAGGTTTGATTCCATGTCTGGGCACCTACAGGAGGCAACTAATCAATGCTTCTCTCTAGCACTGATGTTTCTCTCTCTCCCTTCCTCTCTCCCTAAAAGCACTGAAAAAAATTTCCTCAGGTGAAGATGAAAAAAGGTTAAATTGTGCCAAATCTGTTTCCTCTTTCTTCATGTATTTAATGAGGGAAAATGAAGAGAGAATCCTAATTCCTAGTGAATGCCCTTTTAGGGCAAAAGCATAAATCAGATTGCCTTCTGTCTCTTTCCTGCTCCTTTTCTGTGTTGTTTTCCTTTTTCCCTGCCAATTTCTTAGGTTCTTACTGCCTACATTTTGTGACTGAAACTCCTAGTCTTTAACTTGCATGTCTCCAATCAATTTCCCCTTTCCTCCTTTCACTACCTACTGCTTAGGGCCGTGGGGAGAATGATTCCCTTTCACCCCAACAGGCTCTGGGCTGGACCATAATTGATAATGTGCTTGAACCAGTTGACCCTCCATGGTGTAACTCTACAGTTTCCCCAGAGACTGTTTTGATCAGTTCAAATGGTCAGAGAAATAAGAAAGACATTTACTGAAGAAGTGTAGAAGGACCTGGGAGTTTCTACAGAGTGACGGGAGGAGATGTGGGTTTTGTTTTTGTTTGTGTGTTTGTTTGTTTGTTTTTCACTATTTTGTACATGAAAAATAAATTACACCCAACAAGCAGCTTTGGGGGAAGATGGACTCAGTTCGGTTAGAGCACAGGTGGCAAACACAAAGTCTGAGGACCGAATCCAGCCCTCCACCGTGTTTTATCCAGCCTGGCACCTGGTTTCTACCCTGTGGCAGCACCGAGCTCCTTGCCCCTAGTTAAGGAGCAGTTACATTTATGCAGTCCTAAAATGACATTCCGCCCTTTGAAGGCAACCTCGAGGCTGATGTGGCCCCCAGTGAAAATGAGTTTGACACCCCTGGTAGAGTTACAGGCTTTCCCTGATTGGGGGCGGGGGGGGGGGGGGGAGCTTTAACTCTGCACAGGAAATTTACAAAGTCTGAATTTGCTTTTTCTCTTCTTTTAATTCTTTTTTTTTTCTGTCCTGACTCTAAATTAATCATTACAAAGTTACTTTCAGGAAGAAACAGTAACTTTCTCTTCACTGGAGTACTCTTTAGGTAACTTCTTAGAGCTTTTGATCATCTGAGAAAGCCAGTTTAAAACTGAAAAATGCAGCAGAAAGCCACTCAAAAATATCATCTGCAAATACTTGAAGGATCCTGGGTCCCAGAACAAGGCTCTCCATAAGATGGGAGATGACATCAGAGGCAGATAAACTGCAATAGATGGGAGTGAAATGTGGTTTGTAAGGGGCATTAATGCAGGGTAAATGTTTACATTTCTTTTCCACTTTTACTGTTATTGCATATAATGTAAAATTGGAGTTTGGCTATTATTTTCTGCTATTATCTTCATTTTTGTTTTAATAGAGAGAAAAGCTAAAGTGATAGGTTCTAAGGTATTGATAAGTCCCCACTTTCTTCTGGTGACTTGAGTGGACTAAGATTAACCTTCACCCTGTGCAACATAAATTACAGACATATCACATTAAGTTATACCTACCTTAGTAAAATTGCTTTTGCAAAGCTACACCATGAAGTAACTGCTACATTTCCTCCATTTTGTAGGGAGACTAGAGGTTGTTGAATGTAATTTCCAGTTTCTAGCCTCAGCACTCACCCCATGCCACTCACTCCTCTCAAGAAAGAATATCTTCTGTTTTTCAAATTATATAACCCTCACCAATTTTGATCTTCCTCCACGGGGAGTGAGTACTGGTTCCAACATCTCTGGCCCCCAAGAATCACTATGTTTTAAACTAATGAGCAGTCTCAGCCTTAAGATTCTTGCAGATTAAAAAGGGATATTTGGAGAGAAAACCAATAGGTTGAGTTTCCCATGGCAGAGATTAGGTAAAACAAGAAAAATATCTCTTTATCTTTTACCTTCTAAGACTTTTAGCTGTGTTAGCCCCCAGTGGACATTATTCCCTTATATACAAAATGATACCAATGTAAATATTCTGGTAACAAGTTAGCTGTTGGCTTAATAGTGCGTACATGTTGCACAATTACTGTCACTGAACAACCGTGTTGCATAATTACTGTCACTGAACAACCATGCTTAAATTGCGAGAGTTTGGGTGTGCACACAGAACGTGAACCTCTCCCCTTTCTTATTCCCCAGGCACACTGTCTGTGGAAGGAAGAGTGCTTGGTTTCTAAAATAAGACCGATCTGCTTTATTTTTTAAAATTTTCTACTTTGAAGTAATTATAGATTCATATTAAGTTGTAAGAAATAATGTAGAGATTCCTTATGTCCCCTTCACCCAAGTTTCCCCAGTGATAATATCTTGCATAACTAGTACACTATCACAACCAGACACCTGACATTAATAAAATCCTAGGGCCTTATTCAAATGCCGCCAATTTTACATGCACTCGTTTGTGTGTGTTCTTAGTTTCATGCAATTTTACCACATGTGATCTGCTTTTGAATGTGCTTTTTTTTTTTTAACCCAGCTCTGCCAAATACTAGCTATGTGATCCTGACTGAGGTCCTTAACATTTCTAAGGTCCAGTTTCCTCAGCTGCAAAGCGAGTACAATAATGCCTGCATCCTGAAGGTAGTGCAAGGATTAGGTAAGATCATTTCCGTCGTGCTTCCAGCACAGTGGATTCTCAAATGCTAGTTTCCTTCCTGTCCCTTGTTCTCGCAGAGGCAAGGCAGCTTTCTCCAGTTCCTTGTTGAAATAACCAGATTTGTGGGTTATAATAAATCAGGCGTCTCCGTCTTCAAGGGCAACACATTTAATCCTGCAGCTCAGAGAGGCTTGGGTATCGCCCCAGCCCACAGCTGCCACCACTCTAGGCCTGGTCTGGTATCCCGTTTGCATCCAGGTCAGAATTGCAGGGATGGGGGAGTTAGCGGAGATTTGGGGATTGGGGGCGGGGGAGTGGAGTAGGGGGGAAGACGGAGGAGGCGGTGAACGTCGAGCAATAGTTGGCTGGAAACTACCAACTCCAAGGCGTTTCTGTCCTGGGTGGCTAGTGACCGAGGGTCGGATGTCCCCGCGGAAGACTGGATAAGGGGTGGGGGCCGATGCGGACAGTGGGGGGCAGGTGCAGAAGCCGGTTAAGATCTGGGAGCAGTGTTGCCTCGCTCTAAAGGACTCAGAGGCCAGTCTAGAGCCCTTCCGCCTTCTGGACCTTTCTTCTGATAACGGAAATGGGCGCTGGAGGGCTGAAAAATCCAGGGCCGCCCGAGGGCAAGAGAGGCACCTAAATGCTCACCTTAAAGTACCGCTGGCTGGAGGCGGGGACTTTCCCCCACACACACACCTAAAAGTGGCCACCGGCGGTCCGGGGCGTAGCGGGCTGTGCCAGGGGGTGTGCGAGGGCGCGTCTGGGAGAAAAGGGAGGCCAGCGGGCAGGGGACGAATGGTGGACGCGCCAGCCGCTGTCCGGCAGCGACCTCGGGGCGCTGGTCCCCTCCACCTACACCCGCTTGAGTCCTGGCTTTTCCAAGTTCAAATCTCTACAACGACCTTCCCCGCGTCCAGCCGCAGACAAGATCGGACCGGGCTCCTCCGGGTTCCGCGACCCCGAGCAGTCGGGACCTGGACGCAGTCCCGATCAAGGTTGGGGGGGGGGACAGACCCGGCGAAGCCCCGGAGGCGCCAGGCGCTCCGCCCCCCGCCGCCCGGAGGCCCGGGTCGGGAGGAGGAGCCGCGCCCCGGCCGGCGCCGCCCTGGCTCCTCCTCCCCGCGCGGGCCTGGCCCTTCCAAACCGGCGTCCAAAGCTCCGGGTGGCCGCGGCACCGCCGGGAGCCGAGCGCGCTGGGCGCGGCCGTCCCGCTGCCGCTGCCAGCGCGTGAGAGCCCTGAGTGCGCCCGCGGCGATGGTCCCCGCGGCGGCGACCGGCGCCTGAGCCCCGGGACGCGCGGTAAGCGTGCAGCCGGCCTCCGGGACCCCCGCTCCACGGCCTGGGGGTGCGCGGAGGCCTCGCTCTGCCCCCGCGTCGTCGGTGGGGCCCTGCGCGCCTGGCACGTACCCGGCACCGGACGGGCAGGGGCATTCCCTTCGGGGCCAGGGCGGGAGCCGTCTCCGCGGCCCGGGCGTAGGTAGCGGCCGAGAGAGAGGAAGCGGGTGGCTTGGCGGGCGACCGGGTCGGGACTCTCCCCGGGGACCAGGCGGGGAGGGGGAGGCTTCGGAGGCGAAGGAGGGGCTGGTCGTGGAGGCGCGGACTGCGCCGGCGGGGGTGGGCCCGGGGTGGGAGGACGCGCGCGCCGCAACCCCCTCGAGTCGGGCTTTTGTAAAAGCTGGCCTCTTACATATGGAAATGACGGCCGCGCGGGTCTCCGTTCCCGTCCTTTTGAAGGACGCCCGCCCAGAACCTCGGCGCCGCCTGCGAAGTATTGTCCCGCTACTTGCGCCCTAACAAAGCATCCACCTTCGCTTTGCAGAGCACTGGAGGCAGGCGGCAGGCTGTGCGGGCGCAGCGGAGAGGCCGACAGAAGGTAGGCGAGGACGGCGGGGGCCGTGAGAGCTGGCTGCCTGGCGCTACAGCGGGGCGTCTGCGGTTTCTGGGGGCAGCGATGGGCAGGCGAGTCGGGGACACATCTGCATCGCATGTTGCCAGGGACCTAGGCGGCGCACCCGCGCTTCTGCGGCACCTCGCCTCCGCAGTCGGGTCCGGGCACCTCCGCCACCCGCGTGGTCCCAGCCTGCAGCCGACAGCTGGAAGGGGCTTCTGTATGTTGGTCCAGGAGTGGACTTGAGACCTGGACGGAACAGAAGGGATAGTTGTTCTGTTGCCTTGTGCCACCCAGGCAGCCTTGTGATTGAGAGGCTGAAGAGAACCCTGTCTGGGGAAACCCGAGGTGTTAGCCTGGAGTATTTTGAGTATCGGAGAGCTAACCTTAAAGTGGGGATTTTCGGAGGTGTGTGGGGTCGATGCATATAGGAAGACTTTCCCAGGGCAGTTACTACTAAGAAGGGGAAAAGAACAAAATGCCACTCGTTTATTGCCTGAAAGCCGTGCTCGCCAGGCCAAGCAGAATGCAAGTGTAGCGGGGAGCGGGAGAAGCTTCCAGGGTTCCAGGAGCTGGGCTTCTGCAGCTGCCAGACCGGTCCCTGGCGAAAGGACGAAGCTGGTGGAAGCAGTTTACTGCTGAGAGTTCTTTCTGTGAAGTTGAAAGAGGTAGAGATGGAAAGAGGCGGTTTCCCAGCCTCAGCCCTAGCCTTAGCCTGCAGATGAAGTGGGGGCTGGAAAGATTGCTCCACCATGCACCCTGTGTCTAGACAACTCAGCTATCATGAGATCTTTTGCTGTCTTTACTTTACTGGAACAGATCCCCTCGTAGGGTTGAGGAATTCCTGAGGTGGGCTTGCCATACAACTTAACTACTGAATGTATGAAATGAAAACAGATTGCATGGCTGTCTTTTGTGACTGAGGTGGGAGCTGTTTGGGATTAGAATCCTATTCAAGTCCACCGTGGCACATGGGCTAAGCCCCTGAGACCATGGAAGATTCTCATTTGGCTCCCATACATACGTTAAATTAAATGTATATGTTTACTTGTTTCCTAAGGATGGACAGTCTGCAAGGAAATTATTTTTCCATGTCAGCTCAATTTAATCTTGACCTTCTCTAGTGGCTAGCATGTTGGTGGCTGACCTAGAATACTGGCAGCTCTTGCTCTGGAGTTGAAGAGGGATGTGAAAATACCCAGACTGTGTGTGAAAGTAACATTACAGGCTGGCTGCAGCCTGCAGTTTCTTTTGGCCTCTTCAGCTGTTGTCAGTGTCCTTTGGGAGGTCAAGTGAACTGCTGGGGCGCTTCTTTGTGGATTTGTTTACTTTCACTCACTCTGTGCTGCATCTGTAACGGAGAGAATTCTGAGCTGCAGTATACATAAAGGGTAGGGCTTGTGGATGTTCCCAATGGGTAGGACATGGGGCAAAGGCAGGAGAAGGCTTTACAGGGAGCAACAGAAAGGAAGCCGTCACAGGCACAGTCTTTGCATTAAAATGTCACATATCTGTCTTTTTAATAGGAAGTTGCTCAGAACGGTATGGGTGTCTTTTTTTCTTGTTCTTTTTTTTTATTTTAGTTACGTGATGACCCTAAAAATCATAAAGATATTATAATGTAAAAGATACTAACTGTCACAGAGAGGCTCCAATGAATTCTAAACAACCAATCTTAATTTAGTGGGCAGTATTCTTGTCATAAGTTAAATGTTGGCCAAGTAAATTGTTTGAAATGTCACTGCACATGATGGCTTTCTAAACTAACATTTCACCAATCTTGATGCTTCCTATTTGTGTTGATAATGAAAATACATTTTATCAGGCTAATATCAATAAAGGGTTGGCAAGTTTAACCAGAGCATTTTTGGAGGATTCAAGCAACCTAAAGTCTCTTCAGAAGATCAATTTTTATAAATATCAATTCATTTGTGGGCCAATAAATTATGTGGTTTGAATTCTGGCTATTGAACTTACATATGCTGTACAGGGGCTTGTGGAGAGACTTACCGAAGCTTGGGCAAGATATTTTATCCTTTTAACAAATAAAATAGAATTTTAAAAAGAGTATGGGTATATGCAAATGAGTAGCTGTTTGAAATTAGGATGCTTCTGTATGGCAATTTATAACAGCAATTAACCATTTATTCCAGCTTTTGGATGGAAAAATTACAAAGTATTCATGTTCTAGTGCTCACTTAAAAAACAAAGTTGAGAAAACCTATTGTTTACAGATGTCAAAAGTGAAACTCTTCACTTTGATCCCAGCGAACTGTTTTCATAGCTGCAGGCATTTTACATTAATTTGAGTTAATATGGCTCAAGAAGTGAAAGTTGTTACAAGCAGTCTCTTTTAAGAAAGTAACAGTGGGTTTTCTGCTTCTGTAATGTCACTTCTTAGCTGATTAAAGGTTATTGAATCTACAGTGTGCTAGGCTAATGATTTTATTCCTCCAGCTCTCCTGAGCTAACAGCTCGATTAGGTAATCCACCTTGCTTAGGTTTAACAAAAGCGTGGCTTGGCTGCATCATTCAGTACAGTAAAATACTAAATTTATGTATGTTTTAGAATAAATACTAGTAGAATACTCTTAATTAAATGAAATTTTACAGTGTAGTTAGCAAAGATTATTATTCTTTAAAATTGAATGTGACTTTGTTTTCTGGGTGGTGTCATTTAAGCTTTTGTGTTATATTTTTATATCATGATTTTATTCTTGGTGATGCTCTTGTGCTTTTAGTATCCAGTTAGAAATGAGGTGCTGAGGCCGAAATGAAATCTGAGCAGAGAGGAGGCTATCTCACAGTGACTGGTGTGCACGGCAGTCGTTTTGAGCTGAAATATTCTATATAGATACATAAATGGGGACATGTGCTTTTTCTATTAAGCTTTACTAAACTTGAATTTATTCTTGTCCCTATTTCATTTTATACTAAATTAGTCCAAAATGGTAAGACTGAAAATATCTGCAGCAAAATAAAATGCAGAAAAGAGAGAAGAAAAAGAAGGTGGGCAATTTAATTTGATCGTTGGCATTATGAGGCTCTGACTTACCACACGGTGAAAGCTAAAGGCGTGAAAGAAAAGCTTTGCCCAAGCAGGGTTTGTGCCTGTTTATCACTTCAGTTGTAAAGTAACTGAATGAGTCACTTGGTGGTCACTGCCTGGTCTGTGGACCCCCAACAGCCATGTCTGAACACAGATCCACAAGCATCTATTATAATACCCAGCGAAAGCGGCTGAGCCAAGAGGGACATGCAGACATTCCTCGTAGCTGTTCAGCTGTTGGACCATCTGGAGGGAAAATAAAAGGCCTGAGCTAGGGGCTCTGGCATTGTGCTCATTTATTATTTGGTTTTCCCTTGCCAGGCTTTGTCCCCCTTTTACTCCCTCTGGCCCAGAACAGACGTCTGCTTTGGCTGGGATGCCGTTCTTACAAGCTCCTTTCTACATCTTGGATGCTGGAAAGTTCATAAGTTCACGTGTCCACTTCATGTTGGCCTTATGTCGGGGACTTCATCATTCCAGCTGCACCTCCTTCTATGCCTCTTGCAGTCCCAGTTGGCACTGTGATTTCATCAGCCAGGGTTGCCGAGCGGAGCACAATAACAGCTCTGTAATGGACATCCCTGTCAGGGGCTGCACATTTTGGCAGCCTTGTTTTGAATTATTTGGAAGGCAGATGCTCCGTGTAGTTCTCATTATGGGTGGTCACTGGGTGATAAATGTTTTGATTAATGGCTCTGTGCATCTGCCTCTTATTTAACCATCCCTAGTTAGAACTCCAAAATACTGCCCACACTGGCCCTTTCATCCCAGAGGAGTGGTGAAGGCTCCTGACAGTTTGGGTGGAAAGGTAAATGGTTGCAAGGAGGCTCAGGTTTGTGGCGGGCTTTATAAAACTGGAGTTGTTCTTTGCCATTTGAAGAAAGATTTATGACTCCAAACCCAACTTCCTTCATTTCTGGGTAAGATTCCTGTCAGCGGTGGGCATCAGCCAGGCTTTGACTCTGGAAAGTGTGGGATTGCACAGATTAGACGTAGCTAAGTGTTTTGGGGAATTAATTTAACAACTGTCAGTTCCTGGACTTTGTCCAGTCTTGAAGGTACGGGATTCTTCATGATCATTTTTACAAACACATTTAGTTCTTCCTTGCCCTATATTCCAGAGATGCTTTATTAAAAAGAAAGTACTTATTCTGTCTATCCCTAATGCCTTGGAGACTATAATTATTCAACAAAGGGTCAAGGGTGGGAGGGAGGGAGGAGCCCCCCACCATTACGACCTGGGAGAGTCTGTGGCCAGCAAGTGTTCCCTACAACAGAACCACGCCTGGCACTTGGCACTGTTTCGCTGGTTATCACATGAAGGTGGAGGCAAGTGCTTTGCCAGTATCATTTCAGTGGTCCCCTTAATGTGTTATTATGTGTGGGATTGAGAGACAGTGTTGTTTCGAGTCACACCAGGGTTCCGATCTTGGCTCCACCCTCATGTTAGTGCTGTAGCCTTGGACAAATTGCAGACTTTTGCCAACCCCTGATTTCTACATCTTAAATGGGAATGTGAGATCTACTTTAAAGTATTAGGAGGATTAAACGAGGTCGTATAGGTAAAGTACTCTGCATAGGCCAGTCTGATAGTAAATGATCAGAAAGTTAAAAGAAATTGTTTTTTTCTGAGTTCCCAACTATAGTTTAGCCTTTTTGCTTTTGTTTCACATTACATTTATCAATAGTCTGCCTTTAAAGGTTAAAGAAACAGCCCTGGCTGGTGTGGCTCAGTGGATTGAGCTCCAGCCTGCAAACCAAAGGGCCACCGGTTTGATTCCCAGTCAGGGCACATGCCTGGGTTGTGAGCCAGGCCTCCAGTAGAGGGCCCTCAAGAGGCAACCACACATTGATGTTTCTCTCCCTCTCTTTCTCCCTCCTCCCCCTCTCTAAAAATAAATAAATAAAATCCTAAAAAAATAAAGATTGAAGAAACATTAAACATTACCTACTGCCATTACCATTGAGTAATACAGCATTTTACTGTACATAATACGCACCCTGCCCATTCTTGCCCTCTGGATTCTGGCATTCCACAGCTCCTGCTGTGTTTCTTTAAAGGCAGATCTGTGGCTGATCGGCTTGTGTAAGTTACCTCTCTTCAGTTCACCCCTTCCTTGTAAGTCACAGGTATTTTCTTGGTGGTTTTCTCAATTCCCCTCTGGTATTAACTTTCTTTGGGATTAACTACTCTCAGTTGCTTACCGTATTTAACCCTCAGGACAGCCCTTCCAGATGGGTATTATTTTTCCCACTCTATAAACGAGGGGCCCAGGGAAGGTGTTTTAGTACAGACTGTCCTCCAAAGCCACATCCCATAACAAACAAATGTAGCCCAAGTGTAAGAATCCGTTGCCTCACTTACTAAATCCTTGAACCAAACTTCATACAGCCATTTGGCAGTGAGTGCTGCCTTTCTACTTCTGCTTGGTTATGTCTAAGACTGAACACACCTTCTAAAGAGTTGGATGGGAGTAGAGGTGTGTTTCGGAAGAAGTGGGCATTTCAAATTCTTCATGTGCTCATTTATTTCTGTAGTTATTCAGGTGAAGTTTCCACTCAAATCTCCATATACTCAGTAATCTATGTTTACTGCATCGTGGTATGAAGAATACATTTCCCTAAATACTATGCATTTGGGGAAAGCTATAAAAGAAATTGAAGTTGTGGACCTTGCCTTTAAAGAAATTTCTGGCAAGTGGGGAGAAAAAAATTCTTACATATGAAATTACTGATGAACATTTGGGGGATAATATCAACCAGTAAAAACGCATTCTGTGCCAGAAGCCTACTGACAACTTGTTGCCATATGTAACATCTTTTGGATGTTTTCTTATGTACCATCATTTGCTCTCTAGGCGTAGGGCTGTTTCCCCCTTTAGTCACAGGAGTGTTTTCTTATTAAAGGAATTTTATTTTGTGAAAATCCAGTGACTTTCCAAAGAGTAGGGCATGATAGCTTATCAAATTCAGAGCCACGGATAAGACCAGGACTGCTCAGAAAATGGTGAGTTTTATGGCTCTCCTTCACTGGTGGAGACGGACAAACCCCCAACCCTTAAAAGTAGTTTTTAAAAGAGGAAGTGTTAGAATTCTTTCACTTTTGAGTTGTTTTTTAATATGCAAAATCAAGCAAAAGCACACTAGTCTGGCTTTTATGAAGTTGGTCAGATTACAGCATCACAGCCCATGGGATGGTTAAACCCCAAGAGTGAGTCTGAGAACTATGGCAACCCCAAAAATCCCAGAGCACCTTGGGGATTCTCAGCAGATCTTAGCGGACAATTAACTGGCTGACTCAAAGTGAATCTCATTAGCCAAGCCTTGGGCTTTTCTAAATTCCTAACTTTTGTGGCTATGCTTAACACCTTGGCATTTCTTTTCTGGTGCCTTGATGTTTGTATAGCGCTTTCCATTTATTTTGAAAACATTTACATAGTGATTAGTTAACCCAACAGACCAACTCTGGGAAGGTAGCCAGAGTCAGCAGCACCTTAGTAATAGAAAAACTGGTAATCAAGAGAAGAGGCCTTTTGATACCGGGAGCCTCGACCAGAATGGTACCTCTCCATGTTAATGTCCAGCCCCAGTAAGAATCGGGCTACGTGGCAGAGCTGGAATCCATCCTCCGACTCCACCTGCTTCTGCTGAAACCCTTGGGATGACTATGGTTCTGTTTTAGCTTGTCATGTTGTGAACAGCTATCTGTGGAAAGACATCCACACAACCTAGAGCATCACAGATTTGTATGGAAGGCTCTCGTTTTCAGATCTGGCCATGTTCAGCATCTTAACTCACTCACATACATGTCTTCCATGTTGTAATGATCTGCTCCATAGAACATCACTTCTAAATTAGAGTTTTCTGACCCAGGGCTTGCTTTATGTAAACGGTGCTACTTTAAAAAGCAGAATGGTGTTTGCAGGAGCTGGGGGTGGGTGGGAAATGGGGAGTTGCTGTGCCGTGGGTATAGAGCTCATTGTGTAAGATGAAAAAGATCTGGAGATCAATACTCTCTGCACGATTCAGATTTTAATGGGGCGGATTTCATGTTATGTGGTACTTATAATAAAAACTTATATTAGCAAGATAAAAAAATTTTTTTAAGGTGCTGCTTTTTATAGTCAAGGGCTGGTTCTGAGGGCCTTGTTTCAGACCGCTGAGGTCACTGTCTCGAGGGTGGATGTCGCACTTGTCTTCCATGGCATCGTGGTGAAGGTGCCTCCAGATGTGCAGGTGGCAGCCTTTGGTCGGAAGGTCCCACACATTATAAATGAATTAATGTGCAAGCAAAAAACCCCCCCAAAAATAGCTTCATTTTTAAAGTAGGATGTCCCTAGTATTTTATGTTATATATTTTTAGCAAAAATGATTGCGAGAGTTATTGATAATTCCATATTTTTACCAATCCCATGGACAATGGAAGAAGAACATCCGGTCTGGGTGGGTCAGAGAGATGGAAGACAGAGTAACAGGGCGAACAGAGGTGAGGTGGCCTAGATGGTAGAGGTCCCCTGAGACTCTGTAGGATTCATGTGGTCTGTGGCTCCTTTAAACCTCACTGTCTGATAGGTTGGGGTATTGTTTTCACCTTTCTCTAGGCAACTAAGCATTACCTAAACCTTCCTGGGACTAAAGTGAGCTTCAGGGAATACGCTTCCTGTCACACCTGTAATTGCAACAATGAAGTTAATTGAGTTGCTTTTTGAGGAACTCGTGTGAAAGGCACTGGGTCTCATGTAAACAGGGAGGTGGTTGTGTATCAGACGTGTGCCTGCTGCTGCAACCCTCTGGTCTAAACACGAAGAGGAGCATCTAGGCTGCAGGAAGAGAAACTAAACATCAGCTCGTCCGAGCCAGCAGATTGCAGCATCTGGACAGGTTGGCTGGAGCTCGAGGACTTGTGTGGAAGCTGTAGCCCTGCAGTTTGTTGGCACTAACAGTTACTTCATTTGAAAGGACTGGATGTCAGAAGTAGCCTTTCACCGTCTGTAAGTCCTAGGCTAGATGAGCTGGTAGAGAATCACTTTCAGTCTTGAATTTGCCAGACTGGCTGCCCACCTGGGGGGGCGCCTTCTGTCTGCAAGACTCCCTCATTCTGGTAATGTTAGCCTGCGGTGACCTGACCTTGTTGGTATTCCCCCCTCCCCCAGGTGAGTGCATGGGGCAGTTCCACTGGTCAGTGCTGGGTCCTGGAGAGACCTGTGGTTTTGCAGGTGGGTGTGCAGCATTACCTCTCCTGCTGGCCCTCACCAAAGTCCCGGTCAACCAGCACAAGGGGGCCAGGGTGTGCAGAGGGTAGGGGTAGTGTGTGGAGGGGTGGCAGCAGCGGGATTCCAGGGGCTGCCCCAACCTGTCCTTGTCTCTGTCCCGCACAGGTGAACGCTGTGGGCTATGGGATGGATGAGGTGGAGCAAGACCAGCATGAGGCCCGACTCAAGGAGCTGTTTGACAGTTTTGACACAACAGGCACTGGGTCCCTGGGACAGGAGGAACTCACCGACCTTTGCCATATGTTGAGCTTGGAGGAGGTGGCTCCGGTGCTGCAAGAGACGCTGCTTCAGGACAACCTCCTGGGCAGGGTAAGGCTGGGGAAGAGCACCGGCAGTGGGAAGTGGGTGCGGTTTCTGTCCGGGTGCTGGGGGTGGGGCAAACCACACCTCTTGCAACTTGTTTCTGACATCCTGGCTGTATGTGCCCTTAACTCTTAACCTGAGAAACAGACAGACTGTAATGGGCGTGATGTGGCAGTGCAGTTTGCTCAGGTGATGGAGGGTTGCTGTCATCTGCACTCTGGGAAGGTGTGCACTGAGCATCTAAAATAAAGACAGAAGAAGAGTTAACAGGAATGTTTTCCAGTTTTTTCTTGTTCTTTGTGGAGCATTTTATGGGCTCCACTTTCATCACTGAGACAGCAGGGAGCTGACAGATTTCCACTGAGGACAAGGGAAGTGCAGTACAGAGACTGCCATTCCCAGGAAAAGCAGATTGCTGTTATGGCTTTCACTCCCAATAAAGCTATTTCTTCTGTGCATTGTTGCTGGGGTGAAGTATTAATTAAACTCTTCACCCAGGAAGTAAGACAGGAAGGTAAGTAAATACAGTGCAGGCTCATTTAAGACCCAGCACGACTCACTTCCAGCAGAGATGTGTGTGTGCTGCTGTTAACTTCTGCGTTTGACAACAAATAGTCATGTTCTCCCCACAGAGCAAGTCACTGAGATGAGTAAGAGGTTTCTTACCCCACCCCACCCTCACCCCCCCTCTCTGTTAGTGGAAAGGATGTTTGATCCATCCCGACCTGAGATTGTGTTCAGTTCTCACAATTAAGAGCATCATTTGTATGGCTTTGGGTTGAGTCTTGCTGTTAATTTTTTTTTGTTTGTCTTTGAATGGATGAGAGGAGAAAATGGGCAATACTTTTTTAGCCTGTTGCTGTCATTGCTGACACATTGTAGACAAGTTTTTGTCATGTGGTGTAAATTGAGGAAGCAGAACTTTTTTTCACTTCTCTTCATTTTCATTGTCTCTTAGCTGACAAGTTGGGTAAGTGACCTCAGACACCGTGTGATGTATTGGCTCTCTGTGAGATGAGATAGATAGAAGTAGTGACCGCCCTGATATTGTGCACAGAGGATGACATTCTGAAGGGCTGGGCACCATGAGTGTGGTGATTAACAGGGCTCACACTTAGAGAAGTAACTGTTTGCAAAACCAGGGTCATTCTTGGTCCCTTTAGAGTAGTTGGCTACTTGTGAATACATGTGTGCCCCACCAAATGCTAAAAATTTTGCTCTGAAAACAGTAGAAGTGGGAGCTACGAGGATTAAACCATTTGCTCCTCATCACGTAATGCACTCAGGCATTTTGTTTCATTCTGCCTCAGTCCCAGACACTTTGAGGAGGCAAAAGAGTAGTGTAGTATTTCCCATTGTGGTCCTTGGAGATCTCAGGCTTTTTGGTATCTAAGGAATAGTATGAGAGAGTGGGTTTCTTTTCATGCTTACTGAAGCCAGAGGAGACATAAGAGAACGGAAGGTTTCTTTGAGGAGTCAGTGTAAACACGGAAGCCTCTGCTGTAAGCAGATCACACCTTGCAGCCAGTTAGCAGTTTGCTGTCCAGATGTTGCACATCTGTGCCCTCGTTTGGCAAACTCAAGCGGGAAGCAGTTATCGATTGATTTGTTAATGACTTGACACTTTCAGCTCGCTTTATAAAATGTTCACTGTTTGCCTGTGAATAAGGGATACCTAAGTGGTTTGTAGTGTGATATTTGCTTAGGGAGCCCGTGATACAAGTTAAATAGATGTCTACGTATTGATTTCATGTGGGTGTCCCTGGTGATTGTCTTGAGAGCAGGGTTGGCGTGAATTAATGTATTACTGTTAAATTTGCATTTTTTGTGAAATTGAATTATTCTCGGATGCTTTCATAAACTTGGCCATATGCTGTTATAGACACCCTATATGGTCTATAATGTTAAATTATAGGGAAAAAATTCTTAGAATTCATAGAAGCAATCCAAGTGCTCTCACCTTCTTGGTATATTGAGAAGGGTCACAAGTTGTAAAATAAGTTTCTAATGCCAGTCATCTTTTTTCTTTTCTTTAAAAGATTTTACTTATTTATTTTTAGACAGAGGGGAAGGGAGGGAAAAAGAGAGGGAGAGAAACATCAGTGTGTGGTTGCCTGTCACACGCCCCCTACTGGGGACCTGACCCACCACCCAGGCATGTGCCCAGACTGGGAATCAAACCAGGGACCTTTTGGTTCGAAGGCCAGTGCTCAATCCACTGAGTCACACCAGCCAGGGCATCTTTTTTCTCTTTAGGTATTAGTTTTAGAAAACTCACAAGGGTTAGGAGCCTGGTTTAATGAAACAGGAGAAAGAAATAGTAGCGTAACAAACCTAAGTATATTAATCTATTCATTAATTCAACAAATATGTATTGTTCTGTGTCTTGTATGTCAGGTGTTCTACTAGTCTTACGTTTGTCACAAAGTACAGTTTTCTGTCAAGTTGGTTTTTGAATACATTAGTACCCATCAGCCTCCAGGACACTTATGGTTTTAACTTTACCTTTTAAATCTTAGAAAGTCTAATTTTTAAATAAAACAAAACTTTTAAGTTTACCTTTATTGGAATTCAGCTCAATTAATCATCTTTCCTTGAAAACAGATTAAAAAAACACTCTCCCCCTCAGCTAAGAACATGAATGTCATCTGTTTATTTTTATTTTAAAATCCATCCTTAATAACTTTTTGCTATCTTTCTTAAAGCCTAATGTTTCTTTTGACAGCGTTAAGGAGAGTAACAAATCAACTTGCCATTTTCATGCATTTTACTAATAGACAATTTATCCCCAAATTATGTTTCAATTCATCTGCTCAACCTTGCTTTATAACTTGAAGCCATATTCCCCTGAGCACAGTGGTTTTACAGGGTGGGGCCAAAGTAGGTTTATAATTGTGAATACACAAAACACAGTTTATTCTTGTATTATTATTTATTAATTATTGGATTATTTTCAATATGAACAACTGTAAACCTACTTCTGCCTAACACTGTGTGTGTGTGCTTGATGCCTCAGAGTGTGAATTACCAGTTGAAGGAAAGAGGATATTGCTGGTAGGTGTTTTCTATTATTTTATCAAAAGAGCTCCATTCAGTAAAAATAGCCTCTTCAACAAATGGTGTTGGGAGAACTGGACAGCCACGTGCAAAAAAATGAATCTTGAGCACCAACTTACACCATATACAAAAATAAATTCAAGGTGGATAAAAGACTTAAATATAAAACGTGACAACATTAAAGTCCTAGAGGAGAACGTAGGTAGGAAAATCTCAGACATTTCACGACGTGTAATGTCGTTTTTACTGATGTGTCCCCTAGAGCAAGGGACATAAAGGAAAGAATAAACAAATGGGACCTCATCAAAATTAAAAGCTTCTGCACAGCTAAAGAAAACAGTATCAAAATTAAAAGAGAACCAACTGTATGGGAAAACATATTTGCCAATGATACCTCAGACAAAGGTTTAATCTCCAAAATATATAAAGAACTTACAAGACTGCACTCTAAGAAGACAAGGAATCCAATTAAAAAGTGGGCAAAGGACTTGAACAGACACTTCTCCAAGGAGGACATACAGAAAATCCAAAGACACATGAAACAATGTTCAATATCGCTAGCTATCAGAGAGATGCAAATTAAAACCACAATGAGATACCACTTCACACCAGTCAGAATGGCCATCATAAACAAAGCAACAAACAACAAGTGTTGGAGAGGTTGTGGAGAAAAGGGATCCCTAGTGCACTGCTGGTGGGACTGCAGACTGGTACAACCACTATGGAAAGCAGTATGGAACTTCCTCAGAAAACTAAAAATGGATCTGCCTTTTGACCCTGCAATTCCACTGCTGGGACTCTATCCTAAGAACACTAAAACACCAATCCAAAAGAACCTATGCATCCCAATGTTAATAGCAGCACAATTTACAATAGCTAGATGCTGGAAGCAACCAAGATGCCCATCAGTAAATGAATGGATCAAAAAACTATGGTACATTTACACAATGGAATTCTATGCAGCAGAAAGAAAGGAGCTCCTGCGGTTTGCAACAGCATGGATGGAGCTGGAAAACATTATGCTAAGCGAAACAAGCCAGGCAGTGAAAGACAAATACCATATGATCTCACCTTTAACAGGAACCTAAATAACAAAACAAAGAAACAAGCAAAATATAACCAAAGACACTGAAATAGAGGCCAGGCTGACAGTGCCCAGAGAAGAGAGTAGAGGGAATTTAAGGGAACAGTGGGAAGGGTTCACGGGAACAAACTTAAAGGACACATGGTCATAAACTAAGGGGAGGGTGGTAATGGGAGGATAAGTGGGGAGGGTTGGGAGAGGGGACTGGATTGGGAGTAAAAAGGAGAAAACTGTATTTGAACAATGATTAAAATAAAAAAAATGTAGTAAGAAAAAAAAAGAGCTCCATTCACATTTTCATCACAGTTAAGCAGATATCAGGTGGGTGAGATCCTAAGACAAGGGACTGCTCAAGACACTGAAGAGTTTATTGTCTGGTCACATGATATACCTGACAGGTGAGTAGTACTGGGAGCAAATACTACAAACATTTAGAAAAGGGAACCACATTAATTCCTGTATTGAACTAAGTTTTCATCCAAGCATTTGACATGCATTTTAGGTGCTTCCTGGGTTTGTGTCTTTTAAATGATATGTTTCCATATGCCTCTCTATCTTTTTTATTAAAAATCTGGACATAAATATGATCATGTACCTTGGTTTTATTGAAGCTTTTAATTATATCCTTTTTAAAAAATACACTTTCCTTTCATAATTGAATATCCCAATCAAATATGAACCTGAGACAGAGCAGCCTCCTGGGATTCTGATGCATTTCCTTGCTATATTCTTTAATATGAATCTGGATGCTGAAGGGCCCCATGCCCTTGGCACTGTATAGAATCAGAACAAGCCACCTGGAAGCAGAACTCATCATTGGCTTCCGAAGAGTCCCATAGGTAGGAAGACCTTGGTCATCAAAGGT